CCTCTCCCATGGCTCTGGGATGTGCTGGCGCTGCTGCAGTGCCTGCAGGGCAGATCGCAGCAGCTCTGCCTTGACAGGTAGAGAGGAAAACAGCAGCTGTGAGCTGCAATGATAAGTCTTTTCTGTGCTGTTAGGCCTGGTAAGTGTATTTCTGTGAGATCACCCACCCTCCACTCTTTGAAAATACAACTCTGCGGTTATTATAGGATTTTAAAATATTTTTTTTCTGTAACAGTAGTACGTGGTGCCTTTGAGAATGAGGTTTTTGGTTCCAGTTTTATACAGGTTTCTGAAATGCCTTGATGAAAGGAGTGAAGTAAACTGGTCTCAGTTGCCAGCACCCATGGCCCCAGGGAGGCTACACTCCCCATGGCAGTGCCACTCCTGCTGCCCTTCTACAGTCACTGCTGCTGTCACAACTTCTGGATGCTGGCTCAAGAGAACAAAGCTGTGGGAGGCCTTAGGAGGTGATTTCATGTTTTTTTCAGAAACGAGGAGAGTTTGGCATCCCAAGGGCCCAGGAGCCCGTGGACTGGATGCTCTGGAACAGGCACGTGCTGTGTTAACCACCGTGAAAACTGTGGGCCTGTTAAGGGACTAGTATAAAGGATGGTTCAGATACATTAGCATCTGGTTGTAGAAGTAATTTTATTGTTGTGGTGCCCATTCTATAGGGGTTTGCCTTCATTGCGGGTTTTTTCTTTCTTCATATCTCCTGTGAGAGATCACTCAGCTTGTTTCCCAGGAAATGCAAGTAAAATCCTTTGTCTAGTTGAAGCAGACAAATGTGACTGTACAGAGCATGAGCAGGCAGAGCCAGTATGATGGTTTCTTGTTCTATCCAGTATCGTACAAAAAGGCAGTACTAGCAGCAATTTTTGCTTTTCTTGTTGAATCCCAGTTTTGAGAAAGGCAAGAGTGTTTTCCCTCAATCTTTTTTGTTGTTACGGGGTTTTTTTAAGCCTCCAGTGTGATCTTGTTTTTAGAAACAAGAATAGTGATGCAGTTGGTTTTACATGAAGCTGCATTGAAATCTGAAACAATGGAGCCTGCAGAAAAACATATCTGAAACCCCTTAACTTTTTAATGGTAGTGTCATTGGAATTTCTGGCATGAAATTCATAGTATGACCCAGCTTATGGTATATTTATGGTCATCATGTACAATTATCACATGGAGTGCAGGCACTTGTAAAGTATTTATGCAGTAATTGGAAGAGTTTAGGGAGCTGGTGGTGAAGGGTGGGATTCCAAAACACACCACCAACAGAGAGGGAACTCGTGTCAGGCACAGCCACAACTTGCTGCTGGCTATTCAGACCGAAGAACCAATCCAGTTGGGGAGTTGCATTTCGGTGCAAACATAATTAAACAAGTAAGTTTTATACAGGCCCTCTGCTTTGCTGTGGATCCACCTGCATGTGTGTTAATCTGTTGCAAAGCAGAGCCAGCACTGGGGTGGTGAGGGTGTTACCCCAGTGAAAATGGGTGACAACTTTGCAGTTGGTGCAGGACTGAGCTAATTGACAAGAGGCTTGTCTTGGCTGGCAGGCTTCCCAGGGGAGCCAGGAGAATATGGGCACAACCAGTTCCAAGTCTCTGGAAGCTGGTTTAAGGAAAAAAAGCAAGGGTACAGACACATCCTGTGCCTCAGGAATAAGGGCATTGAGTTAAAATAGACCCATCTGGGACCTGGCCTTTCCAGTTCAAGGGGCACTGCTGCCCTAAGCAGTTTGCAGCTGCGGGGACAGAAGGACAGGCACAGCTCTGGGAGCAGCCAGGCACCCCTGCAAACAGGGCTGGTTAGGATAATTGGCTGTGTCCAGCTCGGAGCACATGTCACATGCTGGCCCCTACCCAGCTCCTTCCAGGCCAGTGCCCTCCTTCCTTGCTGCCTCATGACTTTTTCCTTCTTGTTGCTGTGCAAAGGACATGAGTTTGGCAAACTGGACAGATCAAAAGCAGCATTTATCCCCCTCACCTACTGCTCCTACAAGTAAATGGGAAAATTTAATGGTTGGATTACAAAGTTTGTCTGGTTTCTGTCCTTCACCA